CCGGTGAGATTTGAACAGCCGAACTGCAGAACTGCAGTCAGCTGAAGTAGCCTGCAGTGCTGCATTTAACCACTGCGCCACCTCGGCTCTGACATGTTCTCAATAGCACATCCTTAAAAAAATATGAAGCACAGTGGTAAAACCAGCCATTCCATTAGGTCAGTGATGGCTAACCTTTTGGTTGTTGGGTGCCAAAAATGCGAAGGTGTGTGTGTGTGTTTGTGTGTGTCTGGAACCCATAATGCAAAATCCCCCCCATGGGGGCACGACCTCTCCCACACTCCCCCCCCCACTACTCATCTCCAAGCTGAGCTTGGTATTTCCTCCAAAAGACCACCAGGGGAGACCGTTTTCACCCTCCCCAAGCTCCAGAAAGCCTCCAGAGCCTGGGGAGGGCAAAAAACAGGCCCAACAGACCAACTGGAAGTTTGGAAATAATCCATTTCCAGCTTCCGGAGGGTCTCCGGGGGGGGCAGGGGAGGCTGTTTTCACCCTCCCCAAGCCCCAGGAAAGCCTCCGGAGCCTGGGGAGGGCCCAACAGGCCAACTGGAAATTTGGAAACAATCCATTTCCAGCTTCTGGGGGGTCTCAGGGAGGCCAGGGGAGGCCATTTTCGCCTTCCCCAGAGACTTTCCTGAAGCCTGCGGAGAGTGAAAGCCTGGCCCTTTGGAAGGCCGAAAATCAACTGGCCGGTACACACATCTGCAGCTGATGGCTCGCATGCCAGCAGATATGGCTCTGTGTGGCATCGGTGGCACGCGTGCCATAGGTTTGCCATCACAGCACTAGGTCATCAACACAAATGGCAGGGCTCTTCTGTTAATCCGATTCTTTCAGATGTTGGGTGTTGAGATGTGATTGCAGAATGATAGAGGAGATAGTGATGGTGTGACAGGAAGCCTGCTGGTGTCCCTCAACCTTGGCTGTTGCCTTGGGTGCAATGGAATATACTCAACAGTGGCATCTCCCTCAAAGGCTCCTTAAATCCCAATAATTAATATAATTATTCCTCCCTTACTTTCACCTTGTCTCACCACAAAGACATGGCAAAGCATCAGAAGGCAAGAAAAGAAAAAAAAATGGATGGAAACTAATCAAGGAGAAGACCAACATAGAAATAAGGAGAAACTTCCTGATAGTGTGAACCATCAGTAGAAAGGCTTACTTTCAGAAATTACGAGTGCTCCATCACTGGAGGTTTTGGGGAAGAGATTGGACAAATTTGTCTGAAATAGTACAGGGTTGGATTAGAAGACTTCCAAGATCCCTTCCAACTCTATTCTTCTGTTATTTCTGTGTCAATATTCACATTCACTTTCTCTTATAGTCTTTCAAAACTGCCATTTGCTAACAACTTTTGAAGGAGCTCCAAGGGCCACCCCAGAGCTCTTGGGGGTCCCAATTTGTACAATCTCTACTTGAGGCCAGATCTAGCATGAATTTATCATTAATCTGAACACTGAGATGTTATTCATGTGGATCCGTTGGTAATGAAATCAAAGGAGTTCAAAATAGTTAACACCAACGAATCTCATGCTATGCTACCAGTCTATTGAATAAAATGCATCAATACTGTGTGGGACTCCCACTGCTTTGCTGTCTGATACCATTCAGGCTTTCCCTCAAAATCCTCCTTATTTTGATTCAGCTTTGAGGGTAGTCAGCTGTGCAAAAATGTGCTCAAACGACTCCACTCCCAAATGGACTCTGGTCTTGACTACAGGAAATCTGAGCAATGTTTTCCTGGTACCACTATGTTGCTATGGCGATAGTAATTTTTATAGAACGCTGACAATAATTGTGGATAAGGAACTCAGCAATTAAATATGTTAGTGGACACTGTAGTTCTTTTTTAAAAAGCTTTTTCTTAATGTCTTGAGTTAGATGTATATGAGTAGAATAAATATGTATATGCAGGTATTTTAAAGAATGATTGTCCAAGGAATGGGGTATTGTTTGCTGAATAGTTTTTATCCCTGTTATTTTAAAGTTTAGTTATATACAACAAACAAATTACTTGTGGCTCAGTCAACAAACAATGTTTTTAAGCCAAAGCTTCACATGGGGGTGGGTGGGTGGGAGTGGAGCAATCTGGCTTCACACAAGCCAAACCACAAAGAATAGTGCAATGACTGAACATAAAAAACATGCTACTTCAAAACTTAAAAAGTCAAAGATAAATTTAACCCTAACCTTAACCATGACAAAAATGCTATTGGTTTAGCAATAATTGCTTCTCCCAAAACTTTCAGAATTCTGTTTTTGGGAAAAGCATGGAACACACCACTCTTCTTTATTTCTGTTTAGGTCCTACATATTTGTTTTTACTATTCTGCCATTCTGTATTTTTTCCATTGTCTTCTGACTTACTTGTTTGAATTTTATTTATTAGCCTTTCAGGCTGAGCTATATATAATTATATATAACTTTAGGCTTTAGAAACAGATGACTGGCACTGAGATAATAGAAGTAGGAGTTCTGATTTTCAGAACTCTGTAAACTTTGCATTCTAATATATTTCTCTAAGGAAACACTACAATGGAAGCTCTCATTTTACACAAATTTTAACTGATTTTTATGCACCCCCCAAACTTTATATTCTTTCCTCCTTTTTCTAAAAGATTAGTGTCAGCTTCTTCTGCTATTACCGTATTTTTCAGCGTATAAGACGCACCTCCCCCCCCCAAAAAAGAGGGTGAAAATCTGGGTGTGTCTTATACACTGAATACAGCATTTTTTGCCTCCCCAAACCCCATCCCCTTCACAAAAATGGCTGTACAGAGCCTCTAGGAAGCTTTCAGATTTGCTCCTGGGGGCTGGGGAGGGCAGAAATGAGTGAAAATGGGCTGCTTTTTGCTCAAATTTGCCCCCTGTCCCCAGGAGCACTCTATAAGCCTCCTAAAGGCTATACATGCCCCTTTTTTGACAAAAAGGGGCCCATTTTCACAAAAACCTGGTCCATTTTCACAAAAAAACAAGCTGTTTTTTGCTCATTTTTGGGGGAGGTGGGCACTCCCCAGGAGCATGCTACAAGTCTCCTAAAGGCTATTCATGCCCTTTTAAAAAAACAAACTAGCCCGTTTTTGTGAAAAACGGGATGTTTTGGGGAGGTCTGCAGAGTACAAAATCTTTTTTAAAAAAATTTGCCTCTTCAAAATCTTGTTGCGTCTTATACTCCGAAAAATACGGCAACTAATGCAGGGAATGAAACAGTACTTTAAAGCAATGTTTCTGAACCTCAGCAGCCATAGCCTCACAGCCAGCATGTGACCCTCTGGCCTCCATCTACAGCTTCTGGAGCATTACCAGATTCAGCTGGCATACTCTGTTTTTCCATTGCTGTTTTGCAGAAGTAGCAATGGATTGTTAAATCTCTGAAAAGCAAGGGCATACCAATTTCCATCCTTATAATCTCTTCAACTGCCACCTTTAGAAATTATATAAAACACCATATCATTGCATCCCTTAGATCTATGTGGTCCTTGGAAACCAAAATATTTTAAAAATAAAAAGAGGGCTTCCAGACCTTAAAAAAAGGTGGGGGGGTTGTCTGCCTACCCCTGCATTAGGGACAAGGTGCAACCTTCAAAAGCTCTTCATTTTAATGTACTATTCAACTGAGACAAAAATGGGGAATTACTAATATTTCTTGAGACCGATGGATTTGCTGGGCAAAGTGATTAGACAGAATAGGTTGGGTATGTCACAGAAAGAATGTACTGGGTTTTTTTTTCTCCAGGTTATGTGGGCAGTTGGTTATTTTCTTTCTTAAATGTGGAACATTGGAAAATCGATTTCCAGGAATGTTCAAGCTGGATTGCTATGGAGGCTTCTTTGGACAATCTACAGTCATCATTCAGTTGTCTTTGAAATAAATAGACTAGCATAAAGACTAAGATGACGGTCTGGAACCCATGAGGTTTGCAACTCCTTTTGACCATAGTAATCTCTGGAGCATGTGACAATCACTATCGTTCAGTTCAATTTATTTCATAAGCTTTTTTTGGAGAAGCTAAATAAAGGGAAAATCCAGGATGTCAGCTTATGCTCCCAGAGGAAAAGCATTAGTATTGCACAATATGATATTATTAATAGGTATTGTTTTTGCAGTTACAAATATCTCAGTGTTCAGCATACTTGTCAATCATTCCCAGCCCATAATTTTCCTAACATAGTCCCATACTTAGAAAGTTGTTGTTTCTGGAAATTAATAACTTTTCCCCAATAG